GCTAAGAGAAAAAAGATTTTTAATTATCAGTTATCAAATGTAAGCGAAGAAAATGTTTAGGATTTCAGAATCAGTGGATTAAAATACTATTGATTCTTCAAACTTTAAAAATACCTGATATTTTATTTTGCTATTAACATTTCTACAATAAAGAATAGTTCTCTGGATAATTTTTTTGAAAATGTGATAAATTATTTTTCTCAGTAAATAAAGCAGTCTATCTAGCATCTATGGCACTTAAATAAATTACTCACCTATATTCCACCGCCTGTATTTTGCATCATCAAATTGCTGTCGTAACACTAGGAAATCTATAACGTCAGGCATATCGTGGTATCTAATTATAAACAAAAACAACTGATTAGGCCAAGTACCTAGTATTATTTACAAGATGACAAAATTTATCTGAAGACTGAATAAAATCTGTAACACTAATCTACTGTCCCTTCCAACAATCCTTACTTCATTGTAAATGATCCACCAGTCAGTTTACCAGTATCAGGATCTAGGAAAGCAAGCTTAAGGCAGCAAAGGGTAGGCAATCCCACTTCATATTTTATGCCAACTATTTTCATCAGCTCTTGTTCCTGAAAAAGACACAGAAAATAGAAGAGCGTATCCATAAAATAAAATCCTAAACATTATCAGATAAACTTTTCCACGTTCTAATTTTATCTGGGTGTGACCACTATATATGTACGTAAAATTAATTGAGCTCTATACATAAGATCTATGCACTTCATTGTATACAAGTTATACCTTGATTAAAATAAAATATACACTTGAGTTTTCTATTACAATCAAAAAATTTAAATACTTAAAAATATTGATTAATCTAGAAACATTTACCCAAATTTACAAATATGAAGGTTGTTACCTTTGCTAATACTGTCTAATTTTTACCACACACCTATCACTTTCATTTTTGTTAGGTTCCAAAAAGCAGGCCATCATGTGAAAATGGAAGGAAGCTACATGACAAAATAATCTTGCAATCTATTTAGTAAATTTCACAATCACCTAATTTTCAAACCTGAGTGTCATGGCCCAGACATAACTATAATCACCATAGCTGGTATTATTTATGTCTTACACCTCAGGAAATCATTAAAAGAAGTTACTGATGCACAAAATAGTTGAATAGATCATTTTTAACTACTATTATAGTCTAAATTAGAAATGTCAGATAAAAAGATAATAGATCAAATACTATTTCATTTCATACCAAATTTATAATATAAACTTATAAACTTATCTGAGCACAAGTAGTCCCCATGTTATAAATATCTAAGTTTGTTTTTCTAATTTTATTGGCAGTTCATACAACTCTTATTACAACCCATACATACATCCATTGTGTCAAGCTCACTTGTACATTTGTTGCCATCATCATTCTCAAAACATTTGCTTTCTACTTGAGCGCCTGGTATCAACTCCTTTCCCCCTCCCTCCCTGCCCCCTCTCCCTCCCACATCATTGAAATTTATAAATTATTTTTTCATGTCTTACACTGTCCGCCGCCTCCTTTCACCCACTTTTCTGTTGTCCTTGTCCCAGGGAGGAGGATATATGTAGATCCTCGTAACCAGGCTTCCACCTCCCTTTCTACCCCACCTTCCCTCCACCCTCCTGGTATCGCCATTCTCACCACTGGTCCTGAAGGGATCATCTGTCCTGGATTCCCTGTGTTTCCAGTTCCTAACTGTACCAATGTACATCCTCTGGTCTAGCCGGATTTGTA